CTGATTAAACAAATTGAGGAAAAATTGTCTCGCAAATATATATTCAAACGATTGGGAATCGCTTGAAACGTCGAGATGTATGGGTCCTTCAGAACGTGTTTTTTTAATCGTTATCCTTTTTGTTAACAATTTCAAAAATGATTGAACAAATTGAGGGAAATTTGTCTCGCAAATATATATTCAAACGATTGAGAATCGTGTGAAACGTGGAGATTGATGGGTCCCTCAGAACTTTTTTTTTAATCGATATCTTTTTTCTTAACAATTTCAAAAATGATTACACAAATTGGGGAAAAATTGTCTCGCAAATGTATACTCAAACGATTGAGAATCGTCTGAAACGTGGAGATTTATGGGTCCCACAGAACTTTTTTTTTAATCGATATCTTTTTTGTTAACCATTTCAAAAATGATTAAACAAATTGGGCAAAAATTGTCTCGCAAATATATATTCAAACGATTGGGAATCGCTTGAAACGTCGAGATTTATGGGTCCCTCAGAACTTGTTTTTTTAATCGTTATCCTTTCTGATAACAATTTCAAAAATGATTGAACAAATTGGGGAAAAATTGTCTCGCAAATATATATTCGAACGATTGAGAATCGTGTGAAACGTGGAGATTTATGGGTCCCTCAGAACTTTTTTTTTTAAACGACAGCTTTTTTGTTAACAAATTCAAAAATGGTTAAACAAATTCGGGAAAAATTGTCTCGCAAATGTATACTCAAACGATTGAGAATCGTCTGAAACGTGGGGATTTCTTAGTCCCTCGGAACGTTTTTTTTTCAACGGCTCTATTTTTCCCGAATTTGTTCAATCATTTTTGAAATTTTTAACAAAAAAGATATCGTTAAAAAAAAAAGTTCCGAGGGACCCATAAATCTCCACGTTTCAGACGATACTCAATCGTTTGAGTATACATTTGCGAGACAATTTTTCCCGAATTTGTTTAGTCATTTTTCAATTTGTTGATAAAAATAGAGCCGTTTAAAAAAAAAAGTTCCGAGGGGCCAATAAATCTCCACATTTCAGACGATTCTCAATCGTTTGAGTATACATTTGCGAGA